TCCCCCTGCCTCCGAGCGACGCTAGGCTCTCGCAGCTCCTGTGCAGCCGCCAAGTCCTTCGGCGATCGCCCTGTGGGCCGTCCTTTGCAAGGGTCGCCTCGTAGGGGCGCAGGTGGGGAGGGAACGGCCCAGAGCACTGGGACCGCCTTCTACGCGGCCCAGAAGAGCCCAGCTGCCCAGGCGGCTAACTTCTGCTCCGGGCGTCCCCGCCTCGCTGGCCTCTGAGCAAGCAGAACCTGCCAGAAAGGCCGGGAAGTCCTGGTCCCAGGAAGGACGCGAAGCAGGTCGAGGAGCGCATACCTCTGGTTCCTTGTTAATGGACCTGAAGGAAGATCTTACCAGCCGGCTTTTTTTTTTTTTTTTTTTTTTTTTTTAACCTGGGAATCGAACTTAGGTCCTTGTACTTGAGAGGCAGGCGGTTTACCAGCCGGCTTCTGGAGGTGTAGATTCATTAACACAGTCTGAGAGAGACTACTCAGCCTTTATATTTTGTTGCTGTTGTTCGTAAAGCTTACATTTCTTAAAAAGGTACTTGACACCTGAATCATATTAAATCTTATTTAAGATGATTTAAGAAAGAGAAAGCAAGGAAGGAAGGAAGGGAGGGAGGGAGGAAGGAAGGAAGGAAAGCAAAATCGCAAGAAAGAAAGAAAGAGAAAGAAGGAAAGAAAGAAAGGAAAGGGCTTTAAGTCCTTCTGAGGCACTATACACACCGTGGGGCCACGTGAATCTTTACAAGTCCTTCTCACTCTCGGTATGAAAGAGATCCCAGTGTTGCCTGGTAGCATTCAGGAGAATTTATTTTGTTGTGGTTTTATGGTTTCCAAGCAAAGTCAAACATAGTCTCTCTTCATCAACAATAGGATCCAAGTCCAAGAGGATTACTGCAGCTAAAATAATTGAGGTTGTGTTGTAATAATCTTTTTAAATAAGTACCCTTTGAATCTTCAACTTAGATATAATCATTTTTATTCCTTAAATTTATGGAAGGACCAGTTAATAAAGGATGAAGCTTCTTTCTGCCTCCTGGTTTCCCTCACCTGCAGCCAACATTCCCATTATTCACTCTTCATTTTCTTCAAATTATTTTCTTGATGACTCCATCACATTATGATTAAAATCATAATAATGTTTGAAGCAATTCTGGCAAACCAACCTGATGTCTTTGCTCACTTTGAGTTTATGATCTTTTAGAGACCAAGAAATGATTCTCTAATTGCAGGACTCGATAATCAGGAGTCTAGGGCTGGAGGGTGGGGCATCCTGGTTTGGGGTCACGACCGCAGTCTGTCCCTATCTGTACCAAAGGACAACACTTGTAATGTTGGCCTAGAATCCCTTGTGGGGGTAGCTAGAGCCTAGGTGTATGGAGAGAACCGCCATCCTGGTCAGCAGGTTCTCTCTGCCCAGGTGACGCCAAACCCGGTTCCACACATCTGGCTTTCAGCTCAGAAGGAAGGACTGGGCTGCTGCAGTTCTCTCTTCCAATCCCTACCTTCCCAGAACCAGTTCACTCCACTGGTAGGTGAGGTAGGAAAGATGAGGTAGGAAAAAATTCAAACTTGATATTCCGTGTTCGGTAGCTGCCTCCTGGGGTTGACTCACTTGAGATGGGGGCCTCACTTGAAGTGCAAGCCTGAAAGACCACTCCAGCCAACTTCAAGTTGACCAGAGCTAACTTCTGCCCTGTCAGCCTCAGATAGGAGGAGCAGAGTGCAGCTGGCTGGCATTGCTTCCCTGATGAGCCCAGCTTCCACCCATAGCTCAACCTAATCCTCCATAGAATACTGAGCACATTTGGGACACTTAGAAGGGCTCACCTTTTGCACACTCCTCCACAGAAGGGGGCTGTTACTTTATTTAATTAACAACTGCAAACATACCTGGTATATATTAAACATTGCCCTGAGCTCAGGGGCCACAGAGGTCAGTGAAACCAGACCAGGTTCCTGCTTTCACCATACTTAAGGTAAAGCCAGGGAGAGACATCAAAGAAGCACATGAATATTTACAAAATCTTATTCTCTAAGAAAAGGCTAATGTTGTTATGAGAATTTTCAATGAGGGGAATAAATTTATTTCAAAGATCAGAAGACGTTGCTCAGGGGAGACATCTGAGTTATGATGTATGGGAAAATGACATTAACTGGGTGAAAGGAAGCTGGGGGCTGGAGGAGTACTCCAGGCACTGGGCAGAGCGTGTGCACAGGTTCGGGGAAGGAAAAGTAATTTCCTGTGCATTTGGTGAACTAAGAAAGACACACATGGCTGCCTGCAGAGGAGAAAGCAAGGGTCAGGGAGGCAGCAGGTGTGGGGAACCGAGGCCCTGGTGAGGCTCAACGCAGAGCAATGTATCTTTCCACTGTGCCTCCGAAGTCGTCGTCTCACGCAGTCTCATAGAGGCACAGCATAATTAGGTTCACCCTTATAAATCTCCCTTTTGGCTATAAAGTAGAAGATAGATTAGAAATTGGGGCCAGAATCTATGACCATGGACCAGCTAGGAAGGTGCTGCAATAATCATTTAGAAAAGGATCGTGGCATGCATTTTAGGGTGATGGTGATAGAAACACTGGGTGGATTTGATGGACAATTAACAGATAAAACACACAGGGTATAGGGCTACATGTGCTGCTGCAGAATGAGGGCTTCTATACCCCGCCTTGCCCCAGCTCATATGCTGAAACGAACTACTAATGGAATAGTAGTTGTGCCTGTGAGAGGTTGTTAGGCCGTGAGGGTGCTGCTCTCATAAATGGGATTAGTGCCTTTATGAGAAAGACATAGAGAGCTCTTTGCATGTTCTACCTTGTGAGAACACTGCAACAGCACAGCAGTGAACCAGGAATCGTGCCCTTCCCAGACATGGAATTTTCAAGTGCCTTGATCATGGGCTTCCCAAGCCTTCAGAACTGTGGGAAAGTAAATGGTATTGAAAAGCCATCTTGTAGGTGGCATTACATTAGAGTAGCCTAAATGCTGCACCAGAAAGAAGCTCAAAGAGTTATACTTTATCAATAGACTGGATAAAATCTTGGGTTTTAGGCAACTAAGTCTTAAGTTTGAGTCCTAGCTCTACCATTAACTACCTGTGTGATTTTTAGCTGGCAATTTGCCTCTCGTGAATTCTTTTTTCTTTTTCTTTTTTTTACAACCTATGATTCAAGATTATAATAGTATTTCATTTGCAGATCCATTGGGACTAAATGACGTAAAACCTGGAAAGCACTTAGTACTTCAGTATGTGGCATGCAGTCAATAAATGCAAGATATAATTAGCATAATTCTTGTTATAGCTATTATTACTTATATTGTACATGCACCTGAAATTGGCAAACAAAGAGAAAATTATCAGTCTCTACTTCACTTTGCAATAATCTGATTGAGCTTGGACACCAATTTTAGTTCCAGAGAAGAACAAAACATAATCTCTGGGCCATCACAGGCTGAGAGACAGCTACCAGGGCATTTGTCTTCTCACATGGTCTCACCTTATACAGAATGCTGTTCTCCTGTCATGGCGACTAGGCCTCCAGTACCCTCTCTGCATTAGTAGGAGGTTGGGAAGTACAGCAAAACTTGCAGATTGTTTTCAGCTCATTCTATCCCAATGCCTGCATTGTCAGGCTCTATATACTTGTAAAATAGGAGTTATTATGCCCACATGAAATCAGCAAATAATTACTTCTGCTGTTTCTGTTTTATGTAATTGTGTTGTTATGTAAGAATTATAATATTTAAAGCCTGTTCATTTATCAAAAAGCATCAGTCACCACCAGAGTTGTGTCTTAACTCACGTGAGCACGTGTACAAACTAATAAGCAAGTCTCTTCTCCTGCCTCCTTCACGCTAACTCAACTGCCCATGAAACCCACTTTTATAGACATTGGGGTAAACTGCAAAGCAAAATATTTCTCTTACTTTTTAAAGGTAAACAGAGATAGTATCCTCCAGGGTGTGGATACAGTCAGCAATAGTGTGGTTTTGGTCTAGAAACTTCAGAACCTCAAATGGAATCAATGCCATGTGCTAACAAGGAAAGAAAGGAGAAGCAGGAAAAAGGAGGTCACTTTTCCTGGCAAGGAAGTGCCAAGTTCTATGAATTTAGGGCTCAAAGAACTCAAATTTACCCAAATCCTCTAAAATGTCCCTTTCACCAATTTTCAGAGCTTACTCTTTGCATAAGAGACCTAGCATAGTTTTGAGTTCATCTTGTACAATAATTTGCAACCTGCAGGAAATTACTCTGGTGGAATATTTGGCTTTATCGAGAATGTGGCTGTGAATACAAGTATTCTAGTGGTTCTCTGGTTTTCTGTGCCTATGCCTTGACCTAAGAATGTAATGTTAGTGAGCATTTCTCTTTAGGATCACTGATGTATTCAGAAGTGGCTGACATACCCCATGGTTCTTTTTGTTCTCTTTTATATCAAAAGATTGTACAGCAGCGGTCAAATTAACATCCTAAGGTCTTGTCTTCAACAGGCTATTTACTTCAGGCTATCACAGGGTTAATTTAAGTAGCTGCTTGTCACCATCTTTCAGGTCTGCTTAGAATTCTATTTTGCATTGCCAACGAGGTCATCACTGTTGGCTAGTGCAAGCAGGTTTAA